GACCTCAAATACACCTCTCCCGGTGAACGCCTCCTCTTCTTTTGTCATGCGTGTATCTTTATTGAAAGACATTAGAATAAACAATGCTATTTCGTTGGCGTTTTCGTTTTCGGCGGGTGCTCCAGCTCTCCCCTAAAGTGGAGGCCTATCACTAGAACTCGGTTAATTTGCTTAGCTATGCAGATCTTCTGAACCGATGTCGAATTACTGAAGACAATAGTTGTCTAGTTATATTATTGCTTCTGACTCATAACGTTAAATAAGTCATCTTAATTCATTACATTTTTTAATGTTTCTGCCAGCAACAGCTCCTGATTACTGACTGGCCGCTACTAGGCGAAAGTTGAGATTCAAAGTTAAGTGGGAAACCTTAACGCATAGTTCGCCCAGGCTAGTCACGGCATTACTGTTCATACTACGGGAAAGCTCAACCACAGAGCCTTCACGTATATGGACATTTGAGGTGCTTTCGAAGGAAAGAACTTTGTGGTCCCGTTTATGACTTCCGCTCATTCGCCGTTTCGGGAACACCGTGGTGCTTTAAAAAGATATTCACACGCATCCAAAAGAGCCTTTGGCGAACCTACGCGTGCTTTCGATAACTTCTCATCGGCGCTGTACACTTAATTTAGGGACGAGGTACAAACTGAAACGTGTGAGTGATAAGAGCTATCGATTAAGGATCGTCTGTTCATACAAACGGGGTATGTGAATAGAGGGGAGGGGAGGGAGGGGCGGTAGTTAGTGGCAGTGAGGCTGAGGTAGAGCCGTGTCCCAAGGGGGAGAAGGGGGCGCGGAGTTATGCATACACTTAATCGATCCTTGTCCATGGTAGACGCGGAGCGTGCGAGAGGTTCTTCTCCACGCACAGGACCGGCCTCTGTAGCCTGATGGCAGTCGCTTCTGCGCAATTAGGAATTTACACGCATGTTGCATTCCACTGATCCCATGACACGGTGTACAGTGTCATAGTGGTTGATCGCATGTACGCACTTGATGCCTGTTATTTTGACCCCTAAAAGTGATCTAAATTGCCAGTTTCACTGCACTGACTTTGCCTTTCATAAGTTTCGCACTATTTGACAATGACGACTGGACCATATAATCTCAAGAAGGATTTCCATTTGGTCAGATACAGAAAATATCACTATGATTGCTTTTAAATATATTCGTTAGTTGAGTTTTAACAGTTCATCTGCGAAGAAGTATCTTGAGCTGCAATATTTACCTGGGATGATTAAGGTCAACCTACTATAGTCATGCTTTGTTCCCAGAAAAGTTGCTCTATTTCAAAAACGTCGCCTCTGTCTCCCCAACTGATAGTTCTGATCTGGCTTTTGCAAGCGAAAAGGCAAACGGTCGTGCTACTTTCTGCCAGTAAAGCGGCCTCCCATTGGTGCATTGCAACGTGACCTTGAAAACTGGCCATGCACCTCACAGACTAGCGAGTCATCGATTGCGTGGCGAGAATTTGAAAAAGGAAAATTTAATCGATCGCTTATTTTCAAACGGCGCAGCCACCCTCACTGACCATTCAGTTTAACATTCGCCAGCCACCAGACGCACGCTTGGTGCATCCTAAAATATGGTACTCCATTTAATTGCTATTTGTCAATCTATATTTCCGGTATTCATTCCACTTTCTCAATGTACTTTGTTCACATCCAACTAACCATGTTTCTTGTAAATAACCATTTTAGCGTGAAGTTATCAGCGTTCATGCAGGCCAGGGTGGAGTGCAAATGGGAAATGCCTGCTGGGAACTTTACTGCCTTGAACACGGAATCCAACCTGATGGGCAAATGCCTAGTGACAAGACAATTGGCGGTGGTGACGATTCCTTCCAGACATTCTTCAATGAAACAGGAGCTGGAAAACTCGTTCCTCGGGCGGTCCTTGTTGATTTGGAGCCAACTGTTGTCGGTAGGCTTCTTTGCGTAAATTATTTTGACCGAGGTTTAGTTTTACCAGAAAACATTCAAACTCGCTATCCTTAGACATGTCTTAGCCCCAAACAACGGTTCCTCAAAATGAGCTTCTTCGGCACTTCAGTTATTTAGTTTAACCAGTTTAATTTGTTTCACGAACATGCATGCCATCGATAAAAATCGATAGCATATCAGCGTACGCTTACTCGCGGGAAACTTGCTGCTACGACTGCAGCTAACCAATCAGAAGCCAGTTGCGAGCGGGACACGAGCAGCGAGTTTCGATTCGCAAGTGACTGCTATTAGGGTGACCTGTCCCCTTGCATCCAGCGACGAAGACGAGTGATTAAATAAATGCCTGTCAGTATAAAAATGCATTCGACAAGGTATTTTTATTAGGATAACTCTTGTACTCCGGTTCCTTTTTCTTAAGACGAAGTTCGGACGGGTACTTACCGGCAACTATTTCACCCGGAACAACTCATCAGTGGAAAAGAGGACGCCGCCAACAACTATGCACGCGGCCATTATACCATCGGCAAGGAAATGATCGATCTGGTTTTGGATCGCATTCGAAAACTCGCCGATCAGTGTACCGGCATGCAGGGTTTCGTCATTTTCCACTCCTTTGGAGGGGGCACTGGGTCAGGTTTCGCATCGCTCCTCATGGAGCGCCTTAGCGTAGACTACGCCAAGAAGTCCAAACTGGAGTTTGCAATCTACCCGGCCCCGCAGATCTCTACTGCGGTCGTGGAACCCTACAACGCCATTCTCTGTACACACTCCACCCTGGAGCATTCAGATTGTGCCTTCATGATTGACAACGAGGCGATCTACGACGTGTGTCGGTGAGCTATTTTTCGATTAGCATTAACTTCCTTAGTTATGATTTCATTCCCGCTAATAAGTTGTGTGTACTGCACGAAGACCACAAAAGGTGTGCAGTTTTAAAGCGAATATGTTGAGCGAGACCACCTTTCCGCCCAAGTGGTCAGAGGCCGAATGCCGAAGGTCAAGGATCAACCTGAAATCTAGATTTATAGTGGCGTCCTCCGATAGGAATTACCTTTCGTTGTTTGGTCTTCATAAAGCTGCTTTGCGAGGTTTGGTTCTGCGGCCCCACTTGATTGATACCATACTGTTAGCTAACTGAAACAATTTTAGTAGGTGCGGTTACGCTGACTTTACATATATCACGTGTTTGTGCCTTCCCTGACTGTGCCTCAGGGGGGGAGTGCTTGTACGCCAGCCTCGAGGGCATCAGGTATCATTTCACACGCGCTTGCCTGCGCGTTATTCAAGCCCTGCTTGCGCCCTCCAGCAAGTGGCAAAGTAGGCCTGCTAATGTCCTTATTCGGACGGTGTCGAACTCCATCGGTTCCACTATAGTAGTCACGTACTGTGAATTAATACGAAGTTCCCTCTGTGGCTTTCTGTTGTGATCCTCTTAATCCAGCGAGTGGCTGTGTCGCGGGGGGAGGGTGTAGACGTTCACACGCGCTTCCCTGCGCGTGCTTCGAGCTCTGCTTGGGCTCTCTTCCCCTTTCTAATCTAGGATTGGTATGCCAACTAAAATTGTTTTAGTAAGCTGGCCATATGGTAACAATCAAGTGGGACTGCAGGACCAAACCTGCCGCCGTTTTCATGTTACTGCGTAATGCTTGACTTAAATGTCCCTGACAGGCGAAATTTGGATGTCGAGAGACCTACGTACACCAATCTCAACCGACTGATTGCCCAGGTTGTCAGTTCAATTACGGCTTCTCTGAGGTTCGATGGCGCCTTAAATGTTGACCTCACCGAATTTCAAACGAATCTCGTGCCCTATCCCCGGATTCACTTCCCCTTGGCCACTTACGCGCCAGTGGTCTCCGCCGAGAAAGCCTACCACGAGCAACTGGCTGTTGCTGAACTTACAAACGCCTGCTTTGAGCCAGCCAATCAGCTGGTGAAGTGTGATCCGCGGCATGGCAAATACATGGCCTGTTGTCTGCTATATCGGGGCGACGTGTCGCCGAACGAGGTGAACGCGTCAATTGCCTCAATCAAATCCAAGAGGACCATCCAGTTCGTTGACTGGTGTCCAACCGGCTTTAAGGTCGGTATTAATTATCAACCGCCCACCGTGGTGCCAGGTGGCGACTTAGCCAAGGTCCAGCGTGCCCTATGCATGATGAGTAATACAACAGTGATTGCAGAAGCGTGGGCCCGACTGGACCATAAATTTGACTTAATGTATGCGAAGCGCTGCTTCGTACACTGGTATGTGGGCGAAGGTATGGAAGAGGGTGAGTTCTCCGAGTCGCGTGAAGATACAGCTGCACTGGAGAAGGACTACGAAGAAGTCGGTGCCGACACTGTGGAGGGTGAAGGCGAGGAAGAAGGAGAGGAGTACTGAGGGAACATCGCTCGCTCGTGGCGATTCCAGACAGCTTTTATACCGGCACTGGTTTTTACTCTTCCATGATGACGCGCCCCACAAATTCTTAACAAAAACCCCGATAACTCGCAATGTACCTGCTGTGATTGTATTTTTATAGCGCCCCAACCGGCACCCAAAAGAAGTCTGACACAGAATTCGGTCATTCTTCTTGGTTAGGGCTTGTAAAAACCTTTGAGAAATGATCCCCGAATAAAGATTCCATAAAAAATGTGGTATTTTTGGAACTTGGGGTGGCAATGGGAGTATAATTTGCTAGACAACCGCATGTTGAAGCGAACTAGCAGTAGGAACGCGCCGCACCAGGAATTTACGAGAAGAGAGACGCAAACGAGTTGGATTGTAGCGGCCGAGGACGTCAAGGGTAGCACACACCACGTAACGGAATACCGAGGGAGAGATCCTGGCTTGTGTTGATAACAGTCGAGTGACCTGTCTGGGTGGAGAGGCGAGGCCAACATGCCAGTTGGAAAACCGGCGGGGAACGCAGCGCTGGGGGCAACTGCAGGGAAGGGCCGAGAGGGTTGCCGATGTAGCGAGGGGAGCGGTACGAGCGTTACGTCACGGTACGGAGCGGGGGAAGGGATCGGCGGAAGAGAGAGGAAGGGACACCGGCCATCCTCACCAACATGCGGCTACGCCATCTCCATCCTAGGTCCGCGCGCCAAGTGTCACGGCACTCAAACAACCCTGCTCAGGTCAGGGGCCGTTACAAGATAACTGACTTTTGCGAAGTTGCGCAAGCAGACCGGGCGAGCGTCTGCAGTACTATGACAGGATTGGTAAAAAAACCGGTGTTGGCACGGGATGACGGTGAAGCAAAGTTAGTAAGGCGAATTGGTAAACCGAGTCAGCGTTAAAGCGTTTTTAGAGGCGGTCTCATCGTACACAGCGATTGCTTCTCACTTTGGGGAGAAATAAACTGGAAAATGAGAAAAATAAAAGTGTTGGGCGCGGCAATATGGATCCCCTCGTATTTCAGGTGGCATTACCCTTAATTCCTAGGGCGTTGGATCTGGGCTCAGACTTTGCGTGAACGTTAGGAGTTCCGATTAACGCTGTGGTTATGATAAGGGTTGGCAGGGCTAGAGTTGGGGTTTATGTTGGAAGCAGGATGGTTAAGGTCAGGGTTACATTTAACAAACAGGAGTAGGCACCCCCTGGAATTTAGCTCGAGACCATCTGTAATACTGGGCGGGAATCTACATTTCCGCGGCAGTAAAGGGTGTAAAATCAACTGTAAAGGCACACAATCATTTTGCTCTGTCTTATGTCAGAAGTCGGGGAGCCATGAGAACAGGTTTATTCTCTACACAGGGCAGGTCGTCGTGACTTGGCTGTTTGCCTGTGACAGCCAAGCGTCCGTTACCAGAGGACGTCAGTCGCGGTGCCTTGTCTACGCGGGAGTGCATGTCCGTGTCAGCAGAAGGGAGTGACTGGCTGTGCGTTGGTCATGTGATTGGACGATTGGACGGATTAGGGGAGGAATAGGGGGTGCAAGGGCTCACGGGTACCAAGCCGGGCCGTCCGACGCGCGAGGTGGGGACAATTTGTGGGGGCAGCCATGAGTCACTGCAGCTGGATGGGTGGTGCCTCAGTTCCAGTCGGGGGTTGCGCCCGTGCGCCAAAGGCGTGTCAACGGTTGTCGCAGTCATCGACCGACAAAGCGCCGCCGGAGAAGCGGTGTAGCGACCGAGCGAGTAGCGGGCGTCAGGCCACGGGCAGTGAAGGAAGGGGATGAGGGAAGCCTGAACTCAGACGGTCCAGTCGACTGGAAAATTCGGTCTAAAAGGCCCTGTACTTCAGAGTGTACGGTAGTGGGATGGACAGGCGTACGGGACATAATATAGACAACGAAGGTGATAAAAAGATATAGGTTTATTCGGATTTACAAAAACGAAAATCTAATAAACGAGACTACGGAAGAACAAAAGAATACGATAGAACGACTTATCGGGTGGGGTTGACAGTTATCTGTCGGCACACGGCTTCCGGAGCGTAGACCCTGCAATGCAGAACGAAAGAAGAATCCAGTGCATTAAAACACTCAAGGTCGGGTCCCTGGTCAGATCTCCGACTGTTACAGCGGGCACTGGATCCTATGTCCCACCAGGCAAAAAACTAATCCAGCAGGTCGGGAACAGAAAAGTAGTCCGCTCCGGTTTGCAGCTAGGCAGTCCGTTTTTATGCTAACTGTAAACCTCATACGTAGCAGGCTGGAGGCATTTTCTGGAAAAATGATACGGTACAATCGCCCACGTGATCTCCGCCATCTCCGTCAGGTTGTCACACATTACAGTAGAGGAGTGCATATATACCTGAAGCGGCCCAAAACAGAAAGTATCGCAAATCAGAGATTTCAGAGTTTATTGCACGCTCGAGACTACTCCACACATAAGCATAGTGCTGGTTGCAACCTAAAAAATAACTAAGGAGGGAATGAATTAAACACACGGACTGTTTCGATGGTATCGCCGACAAAACTGGCTCGCTGTGCGCGTTAATCGGGTGGTGCAGGGTTCATGTGAGACTAATGTCGCGCGTGACTGCAGTGGGACACCTTGGAGGTAGGCCTTAACACCGTCACAATCACTGCCACCAATTCTATCACCACTTGTCTAACAAACTCAGACAGTCGCCTGGTGGGTGGGAGAGGGAAGGGAGTGAGTCAGAAACTGGACAATTCGTCCCACCGTACATCAGCTGGCGTGCTCACATCTATCGCGATGCACTAACAGTCGTGGCTTCCAAGATTCTGTACAAATTCCTGTGTTACGATTAAAAAGTCAGTGGTCAAACATTTGCTCTCGGTAATTCGTCATCAGGCCATTACAATTAGATGAATGATGAACGTCTGAGCTATGGACAGGGTTTCTCTGTGTCTCGAGAGCAGGGTTAATCACGCTCGTTGTTTCCACGCCGCTTGCATGACGGACTCAGCGTGTTGAGGACATTGGAGCTGGAGTGAGGGCTGGGGGGAGGGGAAACGGGAGGGGTTCTGGTTAGGGTGTGAACGCTGTCTGTAATGCCAAACGCGCAAAGTGCGTGTGAATGTTCTCAGGACGTTGGGGCGGCGTGTGATCACTACCCGGAGTCGTCCTGAGAGGACAGACTACCTGTGTCAAAGTCTTCTGACAACAGAGCGCTGGGTTCGTTAACCGGATAGCCACCACCTCGGCTCTTGTTAGCACCCGTTTGCGTAGCCCTTTAGAGTAGTGTGCTGGCGCTCGGTAGGCAAATTGAAAGGCCTCTTCGGCGTCGACGTGATGGCTAGTATCGATAAGACGTGTGAGAATTCAACTTGAAATCGATCGATTTTCCCCTCTGCCTAGTCATGCAGGCGCGTGTTCGCTTACCCTTCTTTCCAGACGTATCGTTGTACGGCCAATGTATCCCGCCCCATAGGGCCAGGTGAATGAGTAAATGCACATCGATGTGGCCTGCAATGGCAGTCTGTTTTTGCCCCCCAACCGTAGGAGGGGAGAGTTTGCGAAGAATACGCGCAAGTTCGTCGCAGAGAAGGCACTGGTGATGGCCGCCCGTAGACGTCGTCCTACTGATTCTCTTGCTGCGTCTCCTAGAAAAGGCGGTCTTAGAAATAAGCCCCTCTTTTCTGAATTTATAACGGCAGACTTTGTGGCACGCACCCTAGTATTCCGGAGAACGAATATCTCTGGGACAGCCGTTTTCGCGGATCATGTGCTGCAGGCGTTCGAGCTCTGCTTTAACGGTCTCAGGAGGACAGATGCGTCGCACTCTAACCGCTTTGAAAATTGACAACAGACGAGAGAACTCGTTCCTTCACGAAGTGACCTTCATGACATTCATGTGGGCGAGGTCAGAGCTGCCTTCTTGAAAGTATGATACCTACCGTCACAGGACTGGCTTTTGTCGTTTACTGTGACTAAGTGCAATGTTTTGCGAGTCGGTGGGACCCGATTCTCCAACCGGAGGGTTTACCACCTAAATGACGTTCCATTACAGGAGGTAGACGCCCAGAGAGACTTGGGTGTGTGGGTCACGGCTTCCCCCAAACAGTCTCTCCACTGCTCCAAGGTAGCCAAGTCCGCGATGTCAGTCCTTTACCTTGTCAAGAGAGCTTTCTCTACCTTTTATGAGCACTGCTTCGTTAAAGTCTTTCGGAAATTTGTCCCAGGTCCGTTGAATGTGAGTGCTGGCATTTAATTTGTCTCCTTCAGAAACTGAGATAGCACCACTTATCCATAGACAGACTACTGTACAGCATATTTAGTAATAATAATGTTTTTAACCGTTATTGATTACTCTTTTTGACTAGCTGTCGGCGATTATGTACAAACCCCTTTTTTCTCCTTCCTACTATCAATGTTTTTCTCCGACGACTTGTAGCCAATAGGGAGTTCAAAGGCGCTCGCCTATATTTCCCTTAATAAACTGAAACTGAAACACTTGGAACCATTCGTTTATCCGTCTGGTTTCGAAAACTTTGCCAATCTGAAAAAAACTTCTGTAGCTGTTTGAGGTTTCCATTTTCGAATTTTTGATATAATTCGCTTCCTTGTAACAAATAGGGAGTTCAAAGATTCAACACCTATGTTTCCCTCAAACTGAAACTGAAAAAGATGGCCGGACTCGGCTGCGAGCGTGAGTTTCCTTAGTGCGTCTTCTTCATTTCTGGAAAATCTCCGCGTGATTTGCGAGCTATAAGAATTCGCACGACACCGGAAGTCATATATAGTTTGTCAAGAGATGCATCGTATCCATATGAGTGCGGACTGACTCCACTGCAGCAGTCGAGTTGACGCTGTGCTTCAGGCCAGAAGAACTGGACCGGACCTTCCGTCAGCTCCTTCGACTACAGACTGTTCCATTTTACCCTTTTCAGGTAGAGTTCACCTAGACGACCGACGGAACCCCGGTCCCCATGTCACGTCACGTGCGACTTCCCATTCAGAGACTCGTTAGGTCGCCCTTAAGTG